TATACCGTTGCGTGCATTGTTACGTCTCAATGGATACTCGTGCACGAAGTTGGCGTAATAATTCCGAGCTTGTTAAAGAATACGGATGAAGGGCCTTTCAATATAATTTCCAACGCGTGTTCCATAAGATCCGTTTACAAAGAATGTTGTACGATACCGCGATTATCGGAAAATCTGCGTCATGAAGTAAGAAATGTGAACAAGAGTGCGCGTGAATAATCAATGAATCGTAAGACTTGAACAATCGGGGCGACTTTGTAGAAAGAAGAAGACAAATGCATTAGTTACGTTTTTCTTTACTTTTTTCATTTTCACGTCAAATTATTATATATATTTGAATTAGTAAGAAAACAATTTAAGTATATACGCGATATTAAATTATGATGTAAAATTATGATATTTTTATTAATCAAAATAATTTATAAAAAGTATTTTATTTAGAATAATCTTATTAAAGAATCTTATTATTTTCTAATACGTGACCAATTTTTACGAATATAGGTTTCTTTAAGGCAAATATTAGTAAAGTGCGTAATTTACGCACCGGATTTGTTGCAAAACTTCATAAAATCCTAGTGCACCTTTTTCCCACAGCCATATTCGCGCAGATTTTCTGCAAGAAGTCGATTCAACTTCCGTCATTCCCAGCAAAACCGGGGCGGATGATTTCCGTCGGTGATTTCGAACGCATACATACATACATACATACATACATACATACATATCACGAGGGGTATTTAGGAGGAAATCTAGAACGCTCATATAACAAACCACTTCTTTTTTGTTGTCTCGGATATGCGGTCATCGAGTCAGAAAATCATCGTCCGCTATTTTCTGCAATTCATACTCAACCCGTTCGCGTGCGCCCCGTATAGAGAGTCATCGGCTCGGGAAATCATCATCCGTCATTTTTTACAATGTATGCACATTGCGCTCGCGTGCGTGCCAGAGTCCCTCTACGGTGTGTACCGAAGGGGCCGAGTGACGGTATTATGCCGGGTAGTCGAGTACGTATCCCCCCGTATAGATGGATGGATGATTCTTTAATGCGCTCTCGCGTGAACGACCGGCGATAACGCGATCGCCGGAGATCGTCCGACTTTCCTCGAAATATGGAGAATCTAATATGCCACGCTTCAAACGTCTCGGGCATTTGTAGCGAATGTATAGAACTTATAAAGTACATAATTCCTATGATATGTATTTACTTGCATAGTAAGTTAAATTAATTCTCAACGTAATAGAATCGACGTCAACGAATAAACGTTTAAATGCACATTTGTCTACGTGTCTACTTGAGATTCTCACCTCTTATCTTTTCGGTGCGGAGTTACGTGGAAGCACGGTGAGTGATTTAACGGTCGTGATTTTTGTGAATTTGAGAAATTTGATACCCCTCCCTGCGCGACACGTTTAATCGCCGGTCTTCAAACAAAGCGGACCGATCGATGTGCGGACGGATGTGCCGAGGTATATATCGGCGGAATATAGCGCAAAATCAGTTTCTACACTGTGTACACAATTCTCTCGCGTGGAACCAATAGCCCGCGCCGGGACTGTAGTTACACACAGCCGCTTTATCATTAAGGGGAAACCTCGGTGTTCGAGCGCGGCCCGGCCGAAGTATTCAAATGATCGTGCGCGGGAACGCCGGTAGCAATCGAACTGTGCAACAGTGTGGATCGTGGCCACGCAATTAGATTCGGTCTGCACGGCGAATCGGGATCGTTCCCGTGGTTCCCACACCGCCACGGTTGCATCGCCACGCGGGAATCAGCGGCCCCGGCCGGAGGACGCGATCCGATCGTCCGATCATCCGATCATCGCCCGGGCCGCCGAATAAAATCGCCCAAGTTACGTCGGCCTTAACGAGAGCTTGCCCGGCACGATTATCCGGATGTCATAACTAATTAAGCACCGTCGGAATTCGAATCTGGCGATAACGTTTGTTACTCGACAATTCACGTTTATTCGGGATACTCGCGTATGCAAATCCGCGACTACGGCATACTGCCGGTTATACGGCCGGTTCGGGTTCCGTCCGCAATGAATTAGGATAATTGAAATCGCGATAATTGAGACCTGGCGCATCGCCGTTTGAGCAACATCAAGTTATAAAAAGAATTCGGCGAATCGTAATATCGAATATTAAGAGACATTCGGGAACGAGCCTGATTTTCAAGTCGTGTTATAACTTGGTTCACATTTTGTCG